CGTTAAGCTTCTGACCTCTGCAACAATGAAGAAAGCATATACTCGTAACAGCCATTTCAAAACCAAGGGGAGTCAGATGCATCGTGGTGATGCCAATAGAGGATAAAACAATCGCTTATGTGTATTGATTAGGAGGAGTTTGCAGCTGCAGCTGAAACCGGCTACGCTCAGTGGCAGTGCGGTTTGTATGTCAGTCCTGTATGGTAGTCAGAAACAGCTTGAGCATATGAAATGGTAGTAAGGTATTTAAATATAGTTATTTAAAACTAAAATGCATAAATATGGTTCATGGTGAAGCCCGTTTGCCTNTAAGGTATTTAAATATAGTTATTTAAAACTAAAATGCATAAATATGGTTCATGGTGAAGCCCGTTTGCCTACGACTGCTATACATGACTACGTAGCGGAGCCCCTCGCGGCGCTGCTGCACGCCAGAAGCGTTGAAACTAATGAGATTCGTTGAGATGTTTAGTGCTGCAGATTGCCATCTGTTAATTTATTAAAGAAACATATTTAATACCATTAAAAACCAAAGAGCTATTCATCAGGAAAGGAGTCTATGTGGGGAGCCGCATGCGCCTACGGCAGCCACCAGACATGGCCACCGGTATAGAAGGTGCGCGTTCGTGCTGAGGAATTTTGCTTCAAAGCCGTTTGGCTGCCTTTTTGTATTGGCAAAACATTTGAGCTATTCGCTATTAGGGACACAGAGTGAACTGTGGTCCTTCCCCTTTGCTCCCGTGGGTCTGGTTACCGCGGAGGGAGAAGGCGTATAAAACAAACGCCGACTCCTTTCCATTGCATGCGAAGTATAACGCTGGCTCTTCTGTTTAATGATTTAGATTCGACAGAAAAGGGAACCTGGGGAAGGCTCTGTTGATGCAACCACATAGACTGAGACAGCAGCAGCGTACAAGTTGGCCCCTGCTGGAGCGCATCCATAAATATAGGAACGAAATAAGCATAAGGGCAATATTTAAATCAACAGGACATTGCGCAAGGTATTTCAGCGACGGAAAGAAGTGAACTGGATCAACGCTTCTCGTTGCTGTTGTAGGAAGAGTTAGTAGTGCGGCGTCAGCCATTCAAGATGGCGGAGCATCTCGCGCGAATCATTGGAACGGAGGAGGACAGAGTCAACTGCCCATTCTACTGGAAGATTGGGGCCTGCCGTCACGGCGACCAGTGCTCAAGGTCCCACTACAAGCCGTCGTCTTCACCAACCATCGTCCTCCGACATATGTATCCAAACCCTCCTGTGGCGATCGCCATTGCAGAAGGTCAAAACGGTGAGCGTGCAGACTCAGAAACCTAGCGCAAGTGGAAACAGGACACTGATTAGGAATTGATTTTTCTACGAAATGCACTGTTACGTCGAGCCTAGTGCTGGATCAACGACCGCACCAGCTTCATGTCAGTTCAGCTCTGCTTTTCATAGTGATCAGTCTAGTTGCATCTTGTTCTCCTGCCCTTTGTTCAGTCTCTGATGAGCTTCTGGATGAAGCTGCAGATCACTTTGAAGCGTTTTTCTCGGAGGTTTTCGAGGAGTTGTACAAGTACGGCGAGGTCGAAGATATGGTCGTCTGCGATAATATTGGCGATCACATCATTGGAAATGTTTATGTGAAGTATTCCGACGACGATGCAGCAAAAAAGGCGCTTTCCGCTCTTCAGGGACGTTATTATGCTGGTAAGCATTTTCTTTGTTTGATGTATTCTTCCGAATCGCACTCACAAGTTTCGGCCTTCGTGCAAGTTGCATGGGGATGCATCGCCCATGGCAAGACACAAATACTCGAAACATCCATCGGTATGTGTAATTTTGCAGGAAAGCCTATTCAGGCTGAGTTTACACCAGTTACTGACTTCAGAGAGGCCCGTTGCCGTCAGTTCGTAGATGGTCAGTGTCGTCGTGGAGGCTATTGCAACTTCATGCATCTAAAGCACGTCCCCCGTTCCCTAAAGCGCAAGCTTTTCAATAAGATGTATGAAGAACATCCAGAATATAGAGACAAAGTTCGTGGTGGGCGGAGATCAAGATCGCGATCTGCGTCACCACATAAGCACAGACGGTGAGCACACCCACAGTCTTCCGTTGTTTTCCCAAAGGAATGCCTTCATTGGGGGTATTCCATGCAAAACACCCTCTATACCGCACTTGTCAGTAGGGGGCTCGTGTATCACATTTGTGTTCGTTGTGCAGCTCATCGAGCATTCACCGGCCTGAACGGAGGACCAGTGAAGAACGACGTGCCATGATCGCCCAGTGGAATCAGGAGCGCGACGCAGCGCAGAGCTGAAAGACTAGGTGCCTACTGACATTTTGGCGGGCAGTTTCGCCTTTCAAGCTAACTGTATTCTACAAGGGAATTCATTGAGGAAGCCATCAGGCTGGGACAAATTAGGAGGCGGAATGCTCCGTGGGGATGAGCGAAAAACACATTTTGGGCATTGCTGAAAGCGGAGTTTCCGCACTTGGAAGGTCACTATATGTACGGGACTCTCTTTATAGGCTAATGTTGTGGCGTTAACTGTCACATTTCAAGCTGCTTTCGGCACTTTTTTGCGTCATGGAGGCTGCTCGTCGTCATGCGGTTGCTGTGATCGCAGTGTCACGCCCCCTGACAGAGTAGTCCGAAATACTTGTGCGAAACGATTTCACATGAAAATCGATTCCACATGGTGGACAATTTATGTGCATCACTTTAGACTCTTGAAGCACTAGCCGCTGAAGCTTTGCTGGCGAAATGCATGGCTCTTTGCAGCTCGTTTCCCTAGTTCCGATTACATCATTATGAATCGAAATTTGCTACGCAGCAATCATTTTTTCATTATACTTTCTGGGATAGTGAAGGCTGTAGAAGCGTCGAAATTACAAATAATGACTGGCGGTAGTGACATGTGCAGCCTCCTGTCGAGCAGTACGTACACCTCAGACCGTAGACGCATCGAAGGGTGCGTAGTGTCATCAGAGATTAATTTTGATACGTGACGCCCATAGTGCCGCGGTGTGTACATTTTTGGATCCTTCCCGGCTGCCACACGAGCAGTGAGGTTCGGAGTTCCCGACAGAATTGCCGGCTTCGACAACATTAATCGAAGATGTTCCAAAACATTCTGAGGTCGCTTAGCGGCTCGTTCGCCGAACTCGGAAGATGGGAGCCGACAGCCGACCGTTCAGAGGTCGCGCTTAGAAATGGCCTTGAAAAGTCAATACTTTTCGTCTTGTGCTCGTCGGCAATCATGGGCATTTCTGCTCTAACCCTGGTGAGTGCAATTTTGCTCTTCATGATAGGACGTCTGTAATTCAATTCGTTTTTAGGGCATAAGCCAGCAACCGATATACTGCGACCGAGGATTGGCATTTTGGAATGGCCTCTTAGGAGGTAGGGCGTGCAGCAATCTATTGCTTTCACCATGTTTCTAATTGTACCGTCGTTTACCAGCAATCATGCTGACCTTGGCTGCTGCGTGCTCCGCCGCATTGTTCTTCGACACTCAAGCCGTCAGATGTAAGACAAATTCCGTTCAAGAGTGATGAGCTTTTTCTCACAGCTTCCCTTCAGTGCTGGCCAAGCTAATCTGGACGAACTGTGAATCAAGCTTATTCGAGTTCGGATCTACTGCTTTCCACGTTGCTGCCTTCGTTGTAGGATGGTATGCCTGCCACCGGTTTCCATGTGAAACATAGATTCACTTATCTATCTTCGCTTCCTTTCAGCCCGTTAGTGGCTCTGGTCTGGATCATGCGTGGTAAGTGCTAACCATGTTCCAAATGTCGGCGCATTCCTTCAAAGTAACATGTTTCAGGATATGTTGATCTGACCGCTTCCCCAACGTGCCGCAACACCGCCGCTTTGCTTTATGGCGGAACCATCACCAATCTAACACTGTCAGTATTTTTTCATGAATTCAACATTTCAGAACAAACACTCATCATTCGCTTCTCAGGGCTGTTAGTGCTTTGTCTTTCGCGGCTTTGATGATCAGCTACTACATTGCCTCGTCGAAACGTTTCTACGACATCGCCATCCTGTCGTGCATCTGCGATCCGATCTCGATTGTAAGAAACTACTCGCTTAGTCAACTCTGCACTAAAAACGGTTTCAAAAAAAAAACGTTATCAGGCTGTCGAGGGAGTTGCTGAGCGCCTGCCGGAACCCCCAAGAGTCCGGATACCCGAATGCGTTCCTTCGCTAGAGGAATGCGTAGCAAAGCTGCCCACATACGACACGACAAGATCGGTTGTGAAGCGCATCGTCGAGACCATCACCCCCGTGTCTCTTCCCCAAAAAATCCATGCTCTCTTGGAAACACGGGTGTACTAAATACATTACACCTGTCTCGTCTCACGAGTAATGGTCAACCTACTGTTGAATCAAACGGCCATCATGGCATAGACTTTCACACGTGTCCACCAAGAGTTTGATGATATTCAGAAAGTTTAGTCGCCTCATGAGTGACTCAGTCTTGCACCATATCAGCAAAATGCAAATCAGTCACCCCAAAGGTGTACTTTGTCTAGTCTGTTTGTGTCTTGAAACGCCCAGATTGGTTCAAATATCTTTACAACTCCATAGACAGCTGTTGTCGCATTGCCGTCGATGCCCTGCGGAGAGTGAAACACGTAAACACAAAAATTCGACAAACACGAACTCTCCAACTCTATGAACGCAGACCTCATACGACTGAAAATGCTGAGAAAGCTGGACACCTAGATACGTTAATCTGCATACATAAGATTCAGGATCATCACAACAGAGCTGATGCCAAAATATAAGAATAGTCTGCTCTCCCCTCAAACTAAAAAGATCTAGGAAGCAATGTCTTACCTTAGCAGAAACCCACCCAGATCCCTGATATACTCTTTTGGGAGACTGGGAGTGACGATGCGTTCAGCAAGATACCGCTGTGCTGACGGGGGGTGTTGGCGAGGTAAAACGCCAAGGAACATTTCGCAGCTTGGACTGCAACTCTTGCACGCTGAGAGCCCGGTAGCAACGGATAATCCCATACTGCCCACAGATATGCCGAAATCGCCATCCCTTCCGTAGTTCGGAGGCGACCTTATAGGAGAAGGATACATGGAGGATAAGTAATGCGATATTTCTACGAACTTCTGTACTCCTTGTGGCGGTAGTACCTGGTCATAGAAACAAGGACAAAAGCTAGCAGTTTTCACCTTGCACCGCCGTTCATAACGTATGCAGAAATTATCTGTGCGGCCGCTAGCGTGTTCCTGTAACTTACAGTGTTTCCGAACCTCCTGATTACTCTGATCGCTGTGTTCAAGTTTCCATTCAAACATAGTAGCAATACGAGGCTTTGCTGTAGGAAACTCCTCAAGGGCCTCACAAAAGCTGAGAGGTATGCCACAACCTGAAACATGGAAATTTCGTTTTCTGCAAAGGTTTGCCTGATACAATGCTTTTGAGTCCGCGATATTTGCGCCTCTCCTGAACCTCCAATCCACCATTTGATGAGAAAGCGCTGAATGTATTGGACCCAGTAATGGGAAGTCGATACTTCAGAAGCACTACTGCCGTCGATTGTTACGGGGGTTGTGCGGGCCTCCTCGAAAGTGTCCTCTTCCCAAATGTCGTCATCAAGAAGCTCCATCACAAATGGAAAAAGCGGAGTAGCAGTGAAGGCGGAAGCACGTCCGGTCAACAGTAGCAGGCAAGCAACTGCGAATGTATGGGCCAGTTGAAGTATGTCTGGAATGACTGGACTGCCAGTATTTGTACGAGCGAGAACCACCTGATGATACAGTCCTGAGAAACAGATGGAACCTGGATGGCTGTTTCCGCTGCCTTCGTTACTAATTGGATGCTTTTCCAGAAGCCTCTCGACGGCCGCTACATGAAGCTGTGCATCCCAGGTCATCAGCATTATTAGTGGTGATGTGTTTCCCTTCCAGAATAGGTGGGCCTGCAAGCATCGCATCATCACTTTAACAGATCTAGATTAGTCCGTGTGAGCAATCGAGTGAACTATGTGTTTCTGCTTACATCATCAGCAGCGTGCTTTCCAGCGAGTAGTTGTAGAATCATGAATTCCTCGACGCTTTCCGCGGCACCAAGCAACGCATTCCAGGCTCTCCGTTGTGTTTCGGCCAACTCGTGAGCCTGAGAACTAGGAGATGCTGGTCGCATTTCTTGAGGCAACTTCAGAACTGAGTCGCTCCAGAAGGGGCTCCAGCGCATTGCACTGACATCATCGCCGACACTTTGGCTCCGCCAGGTCCTTCCCCCTCTCCACAGGAGAAGGCCAGCACAGCGCATGCGTACCGATGCTGGGGAAGAGTTGAAGGCGTTACCTTTTTCTGTTAAAGTTTGGATGACTCGCACTACGAAGTGACTGACACCCGACAGTTCAGCTTCTTGCTGGTCCTCTGTATACGCGGCTAAGAGAGTGGAACACAGCTGCCTCTCCTCTTTCCCAGGAAACAGTGCGTAGACAGCCAATCTATCGAGGCATCTTTCTTGTACTTGCAGAAGATCTGATATACTTTTCGAGCAGTTTGCTGCTAACGATTCCATGTTGCTCTGCTGCTCAGCATCGATAACTTCGAGGCTGCTGCGGAGAGAACTCGTGTGGCTCACGAGGACTTGAAATAGGCGGATGTGTGTAAGCAGCTGTGAAGAGCCAGAGAAGAATGTATCTTTATAAGTTGGGGTTTCTATAGAGGGANAGCGTCTCAGAGGGGCTCTTCAGAGGAACACAAGCTGTACGCTGTAGGAGTCGATCGATAGCGGCTTCGATCTCTTCTGGGTTTTCTTCTGCCCCGTATCCCTCCTTTTTCAGCTGCTGCTGCAGCTCCTGCTGTTGTTTCTGCTGCAGTTTCTGCTGCTGTTCCTGCTGCAGTTGCTGCTGCTGCATCGGCTGCCGCCGAGAGCAAAGCCAGGCTGAGAAGCCTGTGGATATGAGAGCAGCCAGATCTAACAAAACGGAAACTCTCGGGGATGCAGCTGCTGGTTCTTTGCTGTGCCGCTGTCGCTCGAGGACATGTCTGCATGCGAGTCGCCAGAAGGTCCCACTGAAGGTTTTATAGACTTCATCTGTTGCTGTTGTCAGCAGCGCTGCTGCTGCTTCAGGCACAGAACTATCCTCAGAGAAAAAGCAAGGAGAGGTGGCCACTCGTTGCTCCCAGGAAGCAGCAAAAGGTAAAATGGCGATCAGTTTATCGAGCAGCTGCTGCAGCTTAGACTGCTTTAGCTGCTCATCGTCGGTATTTTGGTGGTGGTTTTTATTGCGCTGCTGCTGCTGCTGCTGCTGCTGCTGCGGCAGTTGCTGCTGCTGCAGCAGCTGATGCATAGGCAAAGCAACGAGAAGCTGAAGGGAAGGACCCAGGGGCTTGACGTGCATAAGCAGCTGCTCCCAGGCCTCAAGAGGCAGCTGCTGCAGCAGCAAGGAGATGAAATCGCTCGCAGCTCCGCTGCTCTTTGTAGAGCAGCAGGCCTCGCGCTGCTGCTGGGATGCTGCTGCTGCTGCTGCTGCTGTTGCTGCTGCTGCTGCTGCAGTCTGCTGCAGCTCGAAGTTCTCCAGCACGTCGAAGGCGGGGATGGGGAGGCCAAAGAAGTTGTGCTTGAGCTGCTGCAGATGCTTCTCAATGGCAGAGCAGCAGAGGGCAGCAGCTGAGCTGCGCTGCAGCAGACATTTCATCTGCTGCCGCAAAAACAGAGCCACGCAGATGTTGCTGCTGTCAGCAGCAGCAACAAAACTGATAGAAAAGGGATCATCTGAGTGATCAGCAACACCACGTGTATCTGCTGCTGCTGCTGCTGGCTCCAGCAGCAGCTCGCTCTCACGCAGCAGAGAGGGAGGAGGCAGCAGCAGCGCAGCAACATCCAACGACGGCATGCATGCATGCAGAGCCCCCAGGCTTTCCTCTCCCGCCTGCATCCCCAGGCCTGCGCTATCTACCACCAACCGAGCCACCTGCAGCAGCAAGGATTCCTTTGCTGCTAGTTCATAAGCTGCTGCAGCAGATGCTGCTTCTCCTCCCGTTGCTGCTTCTGCTTCTCCTGCTGCTTCTGCTGCTGCTGCTGCTGCTGCTGCTGCACAGCGAACTGCTGGCAGCAAGAAACAGGCTGGCTCGCAGCAGAGGGCGGAGACGCAGCGAGCGAGGAGGCGACGCATAAAGAGGATGCGGCGTTGAAGCTCTTGAGGGGGCAGCAGGCAGCAGCAACTTTCTGAATGAGAGAAACTGCACTGCTGCGATGCTGCTGCTGCTGCTGCTGCCACTGCTGCTGCTCCTCTTCCTGCTGCTCCTGCTGCTGCTGCTGCTGCTGCTGTGTCTGTTGTTTCAGCTGCACGACGGGCCTCGCGGCGGCAGAGCTGCAGCAGCACAGATGGATGCAGCAGCGATGGGGTGTTGGGTTTGTTGGCCTGCAGCAAGGTGTACATACACTCCACCACCAGCAACCCCAATGCAGCCGGGGCGGAGCGCAGCAGCAGCGCAACAGAAGGAGATGCTTCGCTTGCTGCTGCAGCAGTTAGGGGGTTTCTGTTCAGCAGCAGAATCTCTTTTGCATGCTCCAGCCGCAGACTGAGGCCTTCTCCCTCTAAACCCTCTGCTGCTGCTGCCTCCCTCTCCGCCTCTGTTGAGGAGTAAGATGAATCAGATAGACACTGGGCCCCTGCGGTCGGTGGATGCTGCATCTGCTGCTGCTGCTGCTGCTGATCTTTCTGCTGGTGTTGCTGCTGCTCTTGCTGCTGCTGCTGCTGCTGCTGATGGGCGCGGGATGCAGTTTCTGCTGATGTGGGGGAAGAAGAGCCCGGGGGGCTGCTGCAGCTGTTGTCAAGGGAAAGGTGGCAGGGGGTAGCCAGAGACCCTTCTTCTCCTGTATCTATCGCGGATTGCTGCTGCTGCTGCTGCTGCTGCTGTTGCTGCTGCTGCTGCTGCTGCTGTTGCTGCTGCTGTTGCTGGTGGTGGTGGGGTTGTTTGTGGTGGTGGTTGTGCTGCTGCGCCAGCTGCTGCTGCGGGCCTCCTTGTGAGGCTGCAGCGCCGGAGGATGGGGATGCTGTGGTGCTGCTGCTGCTGCAGCAAGACAGCAGCAGCCCCTTCTTTGGCAATAGCTGCTGCAGTGAATGCAGGGGTTCTGTAAGGGGCTCAGCAGCAGCAATTGCTGCTGCTGCTGCATCAATAAGAGATGAATCTGCTGCTCCTATGCGCAGCAACGCCTCGCGCCTGTAGACACTATCCCCAACTAGACGGGCCCCAAGAAGCACGGGAAGCTCCTGTTTGCTGCTGCTCTTGCTGCTGCTGCTGCTGCTGCTGCTGCTGCTGCTGCTGCTGAGAGGTTGCAGGTGCGGGACTCTCCTTAGGAAGCGCAGCAGCAGCAGCAACGCGGCAGCAAGTCTATCCAGAGAGGAAGTCTTAGGATCCGCCAGCAGCAGCAGCGGCAGCAGCTGCAGCAGCAGCAGGTGCTGCACCACGAGGAGAAGTTCTGCTGCTGTCAGCCCCGCCGTCTGCAGCAAAGCTGCACACGAAGCAGGGAGCGCAGCAGCCAGCAGCATCTGGTGATCGCTGCTGCTGTCTTGTGAGTTAGCAGC